TTCAAACATTGCCGTTCAGTGGTTTCTTGTTGAGGTATCTCAGACTCATTACTTTTAGTCAGTAAATCATCAATTGTGATTTCCATGTCCTCTTTCAGAAGGTTTTCTGAGTTCGGGGCCGTTTCATCAATAGCAGCAGGCTTGTCTCCTTGATCCTTCTGTAGTGTTTCCCTGAGAGGGGAGGTCGGAGGTGTAGAGTGCAACGCTTCCGCATCCGAAGTTTGGGCGGGGGTATCAGAACAAGAGCCGCTGTTAGAAGGAGCAGACACGGGCTTCTTGTTAAATCGGGCCAAGAAGCTCTCAATGGTTATCTTCTTCTTGGTCGTAGCCTCGTGTGCTAATTGCATGTTCCGAGCTATCCGCTGCGTCTCACGGTTCATCTCAAGCAATGCCTTCTTACTAGCCTTTCTCATGGGCCGTGGCTGTTGGGTAAGCCGCTGGACAGCTTCATCGTCTTCATCATCTTCATCTTCTCCATCCCCATCTGTATCTAACTCCATACTTCTCTGCTCCCTCTCTTGCTCCTTTGCAAGTTTTTCCTGCTCCAGCTGCTTAAGCTTCATGCGCTTCTCATTGACAAGAGACTGGAGACGGGAAACTGGAGGTGAAGCTACTGAAATGGCTGCATCACGTTGTGTCGTCTTCGCGGGGCTAGGTGACTCCATTGGAACAAACAATGGTGACGGTGATCGTGATGGGGCATCATTTCGTAAGTGAGAGGGGGAACGAGATTCCCTTGCTTGTGTGGTTCGTCCTTTTCTTCCAAAGGCCACGACATCATCATCCTCCGATTCCGGTCCAGAATCCAACCCAAACATTTCCTTGTTTGATGATATATCTTTCGATGTATCTCGTGATGTTGTTATACTCTTGCTCTCAGGCAATGTTGATTCTTTAGAGTATGCGCTCGCCAGCATTCTAGCAGCTAATCTTCCCCTTGGTGCAACTGGCAGTTGATCCTCCTGGTCATCTTCGCTGTCCTCATCCATCTCATTAGCAGGACGGTCGGGATTGGGTCGCGCGAATGGTTTCGATGTAGCATTATCCGGCTCCGAATCCGAGTCGAGCGCGGCAAGCATAGCTTTAATCTTTCGTCTAGGGGTCATAGAAGCCGGTGAGCTGCCATGATGGTTGCCGGAGCCCTCAGTGCTCTTCTGGGTATTGCTTGGAGTGCCGGAGCGCGTTGAGCGCGGCGAGGCGGTGGCCATAACTGGGGATATGAGTGTAAAGTAGTATAAAATCATAGACGGCGAGTCCAGTAAACGGATTTTATTCTGTCCCAAAATGATATTTGACTTGTGAAGAAAGAGGATAAAAAGAAGAAGCTGGAGAATCGTGTTAATGCTTGATATCAGTTTTGATAGTCGCGCGTCTCTAGAATTAGATTTGGCCCGCTTTACACGTAGAGACGCGAAGAACCAATTAACGACGCGCTTTTGCTGAGTAATCCTAAAGTCAAAATGTAGCGGATAAATGTTTATACGAGTGTGGATTAGTAAGCATTGCAAACTCAGCAAACAGGGCAAACAAGTCAAACACAACCGTATCAAGAGCATCAAAAGCTGAGAGAATGAAACACCTAATGAATGAACCGCATGCTTGTCATTAGAATATTGTAGCTAAAAGTACAGTAATGCTTTGAGTCGTACAGTTTGGCCATGATTCAGAATCATTCTGGGCCCTTGGGATTCCAGCGGAGCTTTGGCGCAGATGGCCGAAGGACCAGCTCTGGCTCTTTTGGCTTGGGGGATTTCGGGTAACATCTGTCGAGATGAGCCTGGAGGTCTCGTTCCATAACTTCTGCGGCTCGATCACCGTAGTGGTACATGTAGAACTCTGAGTTGCTCCTGGTTATAGTCTGTGTAATCATTTTGAGAGTTTCAGCATGGAGGTTTTCCTTGTCCTCTAACCGTTTCTTCTCTGCCGCAGCTTCAGCTTCAATCTTTTGTTTCTTCGTCTGAGACTCTTCTGAAGATGCAGAAATTCTCTTCCGGGTAGCTTCTATCAGTTTTAGCCGTCTTTCCTTGGCTGCAAGATATTTCAGAGAGTGGCTCAGTCCCTGGTGACTATTTGATACAACATCCAGCGGTGGAACATTGAAGAAAAGAACTCGCCCTTGGTCGTCTTGCTGGAACTGGTCACGTATTTCCTTTGGAATTGATTGGTCCAGGCCGTCACGGAGATGGAAGGTTTCTACACTGCGCGGTGCATTGGGGTTGTAAACGGGTGGAGGGATGCTCGCTTGAGGCAAGCGGCTTCCTTGGTATGAAGGGAAGTTATGCGGTGCTGAGTATGGCTGTGCAGGCTGGGGAGCATGGTATGGAGGCTGGGGTGTTTGTGGATGAACTGGCATGTTACGGTTGTTGTGAGCGACTGGGTACATCGGCATATTTGGTCGTGCTGGGTGATATGGGTGTGGCCCTCCTGGCATCATGGGAGGTTGAGGGGAAGTAGCAAGGTGGGCCGCATGAGGCATACGGCCAGGAATGTGTGGAATAGAGTTATGTCGAACATGATCTTGGCCGGGCATAGGCTGCATCGGCGTATGAGGCTGAACCATAGAAGGTGGCCTCGGAATTGGTAAGGAAGCAGGCGGCTGAAGCTGCGGTGGAGGTGGTGAAGGTGTTGGCTCTGGGGGAGGAGACTCCTAAAGAACGGGTCAGTAAACATGTTACACCATGCAGAACGTGTATTAGGCGGCTAGCTACTCACATTCTCATCGCGTGGACGGCAATGGACAGCTCCCACGATAGGCGGCGCATTCTCGGCACCCCAGGTAGGCTTTGGGAGGTCATCCGTTTCCTTTGCGTCTTCTTTGAGGAGATGTCTGATAGGACTCGGAATCTTCTTGATCTTCCGAGGGGCATCAAACAGTTCCATCTCGTAGTCCTTCTCGCGTACCTCGTCAGGCAGGCAGCTGGCCCATGTTTTGATCTTGTTGAGTTTGTGCTTTTCTTCATTGTATCTGGCTTCACACACATAAACCTCTTTGTTGAGCGGTAGGTCCCGTGGGCGTCCACGGTTGTAGCGCGTGAAGAACATAACAAAGCATCTATCAACAACTTCGTCTATCCGGTGGTCTCGGTACTGGCCAGTCTTGACAACTTCATTGGGGTAGAAGTGCTTCTCGAAGTGATGGACGGTTTGCTCGGGTCGGTAGTACCAGCAGGCATTGATCCATTTTTCACCCTCAGGGTCTTGCCAGGTCCGATACAGCTGGGCTACAATGGGTTTCGTCGCATCGTTTGGATTTTGAAGATGAACCCAATCACCAACCCGCCAGACCTCGTCCTTGTATGTAATGCCATTAGGCAATGGTAGACGACCGTCTTCCATCAGGTATTCACTGTCCGCCTTGTTCTTCTCCTGTTCGGCAAGCCTATGTGCCTCTCGATGCAGATCAACGGCATCTCGGTATATCTGGCTCTCAGGAAGGTTATAGGCCTTCGCGTTGTTGAACATGACATCGACATCCCTCATGAAGTGGTCAACGGAGGTGTACTTTTTGCGTTTTGACTTTCTCTTGATAAGATCGATAGCAAGAGGCTCTTTAATCTCAACGTAGTAGTCTGGATACGCCGATTTATCCGGAAGACGTTCAAAATGGCGAACCTTCATCTGTCCGCTGCTGTCTTTCAGTTTACGGATTCCCTTGAGAACGGCTTTGATCCGAGCTTCCATAGGGGTATCAACACGTGGGGGGCGGCCTCGTCTCTTGCGTCCATCAGCATCAGCTCCCTTGTGAAGGTCGTTCACTCCACTTTCGCGTTTTGAGCTAAGACGAGGTCTGCCTTTACGTTTTCGACGTGGAGCTTCATCGTCCGAATCTTCGGCTTCTTCATCTTCTTCATCTTCTTCCTCTTCTTCTTCCTCCTCCTCAGCAGGGAGAGGGTCAGCCTCCGGGATTTCTCCAAGGTCAGGAAGTTGAGCCGTTTCGGGGGAGATTATTTCTTGTTCTGCGAGCTTTTGGAACTCGGATATCATAACATCCTGTCAAAGGGAAAAAATTCAAGATTTAGCATGGTTACTTGCTGTAGAGCTAGGAAGGAACAGCATACTTTGATAATAAGCGCGTCCTCGTAAGCCATGGATTTCGGGCGATTGTATGTTTGCGCATTATGTGGGATCTGTACGGCAGGTGTTAGCATCACCTACTATGGCTAACCCCAGAGGCGAGGTTGTTCTCTTACCAAAGCGCAGTCCCTGACAAACTCCGCGAAATGAGTATAGACTTTGGATTTGATCTTCTGTTTCAACACGCTCAGGGCCATCGGTTCCTTGATCACGTCGTAGTAATCGGGTACGTTGCGCTTGTTAACACTCCGATGGAAAAGTCTCGAAGGATCATGGCCGCTGTTTCCAACGAAGTCAGCTTGAGAACAAGACGGGAACGGGCATAGGCACGATCGCATAGACATACTCTGGCTCCCTATAGTTGTATAGGCTTATAAGAACGTCCGACATAGCCCTCCATTGCACGAGCGTGACTTGGCTGGCAGGCGCATCGGCGGCCTTGGAGCTCTCGATCGATTCGACTACCCCAGGAGTCTCAGCTGCCGGCTCCTGCGCAGCCTCCCGCAGCTGATTCTCGATGCTGGCAGCACCGCCAGAGCTATCTTCCGCCATAGCTAGACGTGTTCTCAGCGTAGTAAAGCCCGCGACGACGAGCTACCTGAACAAAGCGAGTCAGTCAAGTCGCAGTGGAGTGAAAGTGACCTCAGCAAAGCTCGAATTAGGTCCAAGTTCCGATAATCGCGAACTTCTTTTTTTTTTTTGGGCCGCGTCTAGGTCATGTGATCATTTCGGGTTTATATTTAGCCGCGATTAGTTAAGCGGGCTTGGCGCGAGGTCAAACCTTAATATCCCCCAACTTTGGACAAACAAACTTGGACGACGAGGAGGACGAGCAAGAAACTGATATTCCTGATATTCTTAGACAAAACTGATATTCTTAGACATTTATTCTTATTCACAGTTTTGCGAGTGCCGAGGGTGCCAGTATGAGACTTCGGATTCGTGGTCCTAATGGCCAGTCTACTGTCACTCTGGAGGACACGGCAACGGTGGAGGAGCTGCTGGACAATATCAGTCGAGCGACTTCACTATCATCATACGATATAAAGTACGGATATCCACCGCAGTCTCTCCTTCTTAGCCAGTTTGATGCCAAGTCTAAGATCAAAGATATAGGCGTCAATCTGAATGGAGAGCAGCTCATTGTGAGTAAGCGGGAGGAGCCTGCACCGCAGCCAGAGCCATCATCTGAACAGGAAAGGATAGAACCAGCAGCACCGCTTTCTCTCACCAAGAAGAAGAGCAGTATAGAAGACAATGCACCAGAGATTCCCTCTCCTGAGCATGGGGGAACGATTGTCCTTCGGGTCATGCCTGATGACAACTCATGTTTGTTCCGTGCCGTTGGCAGTGCAGTCCTAGGCGCAATTGATACCATGACCGAACTGCGGTCTATCGTCGCTCAAAGCATTCAAGAACAGCCAGACTTCTACACTGCTGCAGTTTTGGAAAAGGCCCCTGATGACTACTGCCGTTGGATTCAGACTGAGGATGCCTGGGGGGGTGGAATTGAGCTTGGCGTCCTCAGCAAGCACTTTGATATTGAAATATGCTCAATAGATGTTCAGACTCTGCGCATAGACCGATTCAACGAGGGTTGCCCTACCCGCTGCATCGTGGTATACTCGGGTATTCATTACGACACCGTTGCCTTATCTCCGTCCGATGAACCCTACACCCATGCATATGCTCCGCCGGAGTTTGACACTAGGATATTTGACTCCTCGGACCCGATCATTTTGGAAAAAGCCATAGAGCTATGTCAGATATTAAATGAGAAACACTATTATACCGACACCACCAACTTCCAAGTTAAATGCAACGTTTGTGGAGGACTCTTTGTTGGTGAAAAGGGTGCCACCGCCCACGCATCCGAGACCGGCCATTATGACTTCGGAGAAGCTGGCTATTCCGGTGGAAACGATTAATTTTGTCCATAATACATAGTGATAACATTGCTCAACAATCCCGGATTAAGACTTTGCCTAAATCAACCTAAAGGGACATCGCCATTAAGAAGCCAAGCGTAGTCGAAGCAAGATAGCCGACATGACATCAACCGTTTCCTAGCCATAAACATGTTAAATACAGTCCCCTCTGCCTATAAAGAGGGTTATTTCGGTAAGATCATTCGAACATGAAGCTTCAGCACAGGAAACAGAACCCACATTGCACCCGGGATGATGGGTGTAAGGCCTGCGTGAAATTATAAAACATTTCCCTAAAGTTGCGGCCGTTGGATTTACAGCGAATGGCAGACGCCTCCCGTGAGGTCAATTGAGCCGCCTTCATATTATATCAGTAATAGAAATTGTGCACAGTGGTAAGTCGCCGGCATTTCATATGCATCTCCATCTATAAAGGTCCGGCTGCACTCTCAACAATAAATGCCCCTCTGCGCCTCAATACTATCAGGAGTAGAGCATAGATGGATACTGGGATAAGGACAGTGTGTGCATCAAACACGAGCTTGTTCCACCACCGGCAGTAGAGCACCCCGCAAGCTACTCCCTAATTTTGGACCAAGTTGTCCGTGGGTAAATTTTTCACGCTCAGGCTCAGGCTTCTTTTACGATTCTACTGATGAAAACATATAGTGCCATGCAGATGCGTAAAAATACAGTCGGCACAGCATAGAGTCAGGGGCTTGTAGTGACTCAGTGTTGTATACCTAATGGTTATCTTATGACTTGCTTCTGAGTTACTTGAGTCACCTGCATCCTCCCCTTCTACCCGAAACCCCTAACTAGTTGGTTAATCGTTGCTCAGATACATGTCGCTTTCTATATACAGACTCCGGGCCCTAGAAGAGAACGCCGGTCCAGGGGCCAAGTGACTAGTTAACTTCCTAGTAACCGACAACGCCACCAGTGTGACTCGACTGCGCTGTCAGCTCTGATTAGGATGAGATTAGACGAGTCGACCTGTCTGTCGTCCCTCGGGGGTGGCTCAGCCCCTTTGATGCATCTAGCGGGGGACATTGACTAACCAGTTAAGTTATCAGGTCGTTGATCTCGTATCTATGGCAGGGCCTCCTCCTGTGACACTACAATGCAATAAGCTACAGAGCCTCAATGAGTCAAGGAGTCTCGAGGCAAGATAAATACGCCCAGCCTCTGTATTCCCGCTTTCTTTCTTTCTGAACAATAAAATAGTTAACTAGTTAAGGTCTTGTCTCGTTTCGTGGCAGATCGCTACTAGAATATACAGTGTGCATCCCCGTGGGCGATCAAATATTCCCCAACATGGAGCATGACCTGTTGATAGTGGTGGATGCTACAGCATCTATGGGCCAATATCTGACTGCACTCAACACTTCTATTCCTCAGATCATCTCCATCTCTGCTCTCACGGGATGCTTTTCTCGCATTGGACTGCTTGCATACCGAGACTACTGCGATGCCCAGCTGCTGGAATGGTCAGGCTGGCAGGAAGAGTCTAAAGGGGCTGGCGCGAATGATACCAATATTCTCGCTCTAGCAAAGTCACTGGAAGCAGCCGGCGGTGGAGATGCTCCTGAAGCTGCAAAGACTGCGCTTGCGAGGGCATATGAGCTGATGCGTGCGGATGCAAAGACCACTCTCTTGTTCTATACCGATGCCTATCCCCATTTTGGAGCTGGGGAAGCGCCTGTGAGGCGTGGCGGCCACTCTTATGTCCCCAACGGAGTACTTGAGAAAAAGGCACTGTCGGAGCCTTCATCGTACGGCGGGTACGGCCCAAATTTCGTGGACTGGGTTGAAGCATGCAAGTTTATGCGCAAAGGAGAGAAACCTGTGCAGGTGTTTTGCTTGCTATCACCTTCAATGAGCTGGAAAGATTGCGGACACTACAATTATTTATCGACCATGACCCGCGGCGCCTGTATGATTCTCGAGAATTCGATGCCGGGAACCATCTCCAAAGTGACCATCGATCTGCTGCTGTCATGGATGGGCGTTGAGCCGGCCAACAAGGCGATCACCAAGGACGCCACAGAGAAAAACAACAGCGATGAGGCTGCCAAAAAAGATGCACTAGCAACTCTGGGCCGTTACAAATGCGTTGATTATATCAAGAAACTCAATCATGAACTCGATCCCAGGGCGGAAATGTATTTCCCCATCGCCTCGAACAGCTATGGCTCTTGCAAGAACAATAGTATCGAAGAGAATGTTGCAAGAGTACCAATGACCCCTGACATTGCCCGGAAATATCTCCCAAAGAAGGATGTGCCAGTCACCAACTTTGCCACGGCCTGGACTACGGATCCAGCATATCGGTCTTTAGCACTCAAACACATAAACAAAATCATACAGTTCGATGTCAGGGCGATAGCTGTAAACCCGGTTTTCGGAAGCCTATGGAGGACAATTTGCAGTGATCGAACCTGTGACTCACGACAGGAGCTTCTGGATGTCTTTAGCGCAGAGGTCGGAAGGCTTGCGAGTGCAGAAGACAGAGAACAGTTAAAGATATGGTTGGAAGCCTCGTATGACTATAGGGCAGAGGTCCTCGAACTCCTCGACAGTGTTCCAAAGGAGGAAAAGTTCCCCTGTGTATACCTCGACCCAACTCTTGACTTCACTCCGACCGGTGCAGAGGCAGAAGATGAGTTTGGAAAGCCCATCACTGCCCTTACTAGAGTGAATTTGCTAGAAATTGGCCGATCATGCGACCCTTCGGTTCTCCGACGACTTGGACGGATCCTCACTCAGTTGACGTACGTTGAAAGAGAGGCAGATTTACCCGAACACATTGCAGCTTCAAGCAATGAAGACGTCCCAAAGATTCCTATGGTATTAGCTCGAGGAGAATATAAACGTCAATTCTGGAGAATACTCCTGCATCTCATTGTCCCCGGGACGATGCTGTCAGCGCGTCCTGCAGCCCTCCTAGCAGCACTGAGTCTGCGATTGGGCATTACTCCCCTCACTGACGTAGCTGAACGGGAAGCACTCAGCTTCCGAAATAAGTGGAATGACCTCGATGTACCTGAGACTTGGTCGGTTCCATGTTTGAATCTGCTAATCAGCGCAGATAATGCGTATACCAAACGACGAGCTGGCCTTGAGGAAGAACCCGAAAGCCCTGGCCGGTCCAAGAAGAAACCAACCACACTGTTGAAGCCAAATGATAGAAAGCTTTTCGAGCAGCTTATTGCGTATAGAATGCTGGAAGTGAACCTCGATAGTGCATTGGCTGCAAAGGTGGGTTGGACTCCTGGGAAGACCACAGCACCACTGGGACCTACCGTCACTTGTCGAGAATGTCTATACCCACGTTCAGTCAGTATTATGGACCGCAACAGCAAATGCGGTCTATGCATGTATGCCAGTCAGGATACGGCATATAAGAGAGCTTTGCATATCAATGTTTCCATGGACGACGGCCCTGAATCACCAGCAACGTGGGTGGAATGCTGTGTACAGACATGCAGAGCACAGTACGTGGTATACGATGTTGCCTCGCTGAATGTTCGAGCAAAGTGTCATTACTGTCGAGCCCAAAGTGCAAACCCACCTAAGCCACGACAGCTGCATCCAGATGCCCCTTGGATTGAGTGTATAAAGTGTATGAACCGCTTCATTTGGCCTGTGGAATACCGTCCATCGTCACTTCGTACTTCGGAGTTCACTTGCACACACTGCAACGCTGGACGGGAAACGGTAGTTGAAATCGAAACAACTGCAAAGAAGATCTCAGCTGAGAACTCGTACTCGTGGTTGATTTGCGATAACCAGAACCCGGAAACCTGCCCCTTCACAGGTCGCTCACTATTCAACACCATTTCCACGTATGGAACAGAAAATTTCGTATCACGAATGACGTTGTTCCCTATAACCAAGGGCGTGTTAACTTTGAAGGGGAAGAAGATACAAAACACTCCCGAGCTTATTTCCACTTTGCAGGACCTTATTTCACGTCTGAAGACAATTAAAGAGCATTGCTCGTTGTGTTTCTCAGTTTTCCGCCCTGACCTGCTAAACCCGGCATGTGGTCGTCGCGGGTGTCTCCAACGCGTATGCCGCGACTGTCTATCAGGCTGGTACGGGCTCAATTCAGCAGGTCGAATCTTGAACGTCGGCGCTCTCTCCTGTTCGTTCTGCAGAAGACTACCTTCTGCAAAGACCCTAGCTAACTATGCCATGGGTGTACAAGCGATAGCAAACCTTTCCAAGGCAGTTGAAGAGAAAGGAACATGGATATACGCATGGTGCATTGCTTGTTCCTCAGCCAAGCAGTTCATGGAGCGAGAATGTGCCCGCGGTGCACCTCCCGAAGTATCCAACTGGAACTGTCCGGAATGCGTTCAACGGGAGGAAGAGCTGGAGCTGGAGCGGATAGCTGCAGAGAACGCGGCCGAGGTGGCTGCTACCCTACGTGAGGAAATCATGGCAAAAAGAATGAGCAAGGTCAAACCATGCCCTAAATGCGGTGTGATGACGGAAAAGATCGCTGGGTGTGCACATATAACATGTCCGGTCCGCCATTGTAAGGCTGAATGGTGCTATTTTTGTGGGAAACATGCTCGAAACACGGACATTTACGAGCATCTCAACAATGTGCATGGTGGGATTTTTGATCCCGAAGACGAGGAGCTAGTGTTTACCGATGAGGAATAGCTGATGATAAGGGATCTAGCGGTGTATTGTTTCATATTTCGTGTATTAGCTAGTAACGATCAATGAATTGATGCTATTGTTTCAGTGGCGTTTATATGTCATATTCGACACGAATCTGAGAAAAAGGCCCTGTGCCGAAATAGCCGTCAAGGAGTATTATCGGTGAATCGGAGTGTCCAGGACAATTGATAGGTAACCACGGTCCAGGCAGGCCCGGTAGGAGTCCCTAGAGTGGTATCGACACATGTAAACACTATCCCAACGGAACATTTTCCCCTGGTTGATGTTGAGTTTTGATAGCCTTAAGCGCGGCGCCAAGTTAA